AAACAAAGATTAAAAAAAATGTTTTTTTATAATTGCGCAATGTTTAGTATTCCTGATGTGGAACTTCAATATATTATTTGTTAGAGATGGAAAATGCAGCCAATAGTTAATGATAGACTTGTTTGTATCTCTCGTGTTATTTCATTGGTATAATTTTGATTTACAATGTACAATGTATAAGAAGATATCGGACAAATAAGCACATTAACTGATTTTTTATTAAAAATATATTTTAACAACTTTGTTTCCAGAACTGTTTGACATTTACTTTTATTTTACTTGCTTCTCAAACTGAACATCGTTTTCCCTCTTTTTTTCTAATGTCCTTTCTTATGAACGTATGGGTTTAGTGAGGTGTGACATTTCTTTACTAAACATAACTGTGCCACGTGTTGTTACATCAATAAGGCGTTATACCAGTGTCAAAGTATGGCATTATAGGGGTGTCAGTATATGGAACGACCAACAACATTTTAAATTATTGAAAAAGATCTAAAGCTGCAGCATCGTTTCGTGTTTAAATTTATACAGCAACGGTGCCGTGTTTTTATCGCCTTTTTGCACAACAGTCCTCGAGTATGGAATAAACACTTTGTGCTGAGAAAGATGCTGAGGGCAGACTAATTGAATACCTGAGCCTATGTGAACGAAGTGATTCCATACTGTTGATGTTCAATTTCTAGAATAGCAACATTCCCAAACTCCAAACCTATTGTGTTTACAGGTTGACGTTTATTTGAGATTTAAATGCTTATACCCATCATCACAATTTGCGATCAAGAAATCGTCAACTGACGGACAAACTCGTAACACAGGAATTCAATAGATGCAGGTTGGTGCCAGTTACGGGGAAGTGTTAAGATCTTCATAGTGATCGCTTTGAAAAATCGTTATTTTTTTTCTTCGTAAAATATCCAGCTAGACGTGTTTGATGTTCATTAGTTTGCATGTGCAAGGATCCTTTGTGTACACTGTGTTCGCAATTCAAAAGTATCACTTCGTTTATGGATAGGACAAAATGATCATCAATTACTGCTTGATTATTGATGCAATATTATGCCGTTGATCAAAAATATCTGCATGGGTGACAGAATAACTATAGATGCGAACGGAGGTTTACATCAACTGTACAGATCGGAATGACCTTTTATTGTAAAGTGTGTGAAAACGATACCACACACTTCGAACAAATTAGTATGGAGAGGAAAACAGTCTGACAACACAGTAAAACCTTGACGGCAGTTAACTATCATCACCGCCAGCAATCGACTCAAATATGAAATACGTCTGTGTTAATATGTCATTTACCTTAGATTTCAAACAGCATTTTACAAACTCTCATCTATCGTTTGATATCGAATCACAACACATAAAAGGTTTCAGACAACATGACTCCTGGATATGATCAGTCATTGGGGAATCCCCTTTCTATCCATTTTAACAAACCAGATATTTAGACATTTACTATACGTAACACAATTTTGTCGAACAACGTGGTATATTATACTATTTGACATTATCCTCGTTCATATGTCCCCATAAGTTCATAAAATATACATCGTAACATTAAGTTATTAAATCCACAACCAGAAAGGCCAGAAACGCTAACGAATCGAAAATTAATCTGTTTTATTTTTCTTTTTTTTTTTTATCTGATTGGGAGCTTGTCATGAGCAAAAATATCGAATATGGATATTAGGAAACAGCGCAAGTTTGGCTCGAATCTACTTAACTTATATCTACAAATGTGTATGCTGTGAATGTCTTAAATAGGAACAATTGACATCGGCAATATCATAAGTTTTATTTCTCATTAAGGAACCTGATTTCTTACATTAAAAAAATGAAGGACTATATGTCTATACTGTAGCATTGATTTAATTCTTGGTAGGGGACTTACACATAACATGATACAGTTCAAAACAAAGATAAAAACATATTTTTTTAATTCTGCAATGTTTAGTGTGTATGATGTGGTACAACAATATATTATTTGTTTGAGATGAAAAATGCAGCCATTAGTTAATGATAGACTTTTTTGTATCTCTCGTGTTATTTCATTGGTGTCATTTTATTTACAATGTACAATGGATAAGAAGATATCGGACAAATAAGCACATTAACTGATCCATGAAATCGATTTTTTATTAAAAATATATTTTAACAAATTTGTTTCCAGAACTGTTTGACATTTACTGAGTGATTCACTTATACAAGTTAATAAAATAACATGTGTAACAAAATGAGTAAAAATGGGTTTAATGATAACTTTAGAATGGTGTGTGTCGTAGAGAGCAGCATCTTAGTTTTAAGTACATCAGGTCAAAAGTCAGTCAATGCTGGACCGAGGTAAAAAAAACCCGTGAGTGATAGGTAGTGATGAACGCCTGATAACGGGCGGGGTGTGTACCCAAGTGGTGAAGCACCGTGGCAGAATATCGCCAGTATGATTGATCAGGACAGATAGATGCTCTCTTTTGTATGCCTCGCACTGGCGAACATATTTGTAAGTAAACAAGATAAGAAACAATGTATAAGGTAGATCAAAGATGGGAAGTTGATAACGCGTACTCCTAGTCGCACGTGCCTTCATAATTAGATGCTCCGGGGGCTGGGTTATTGTTGTCCAGTTCGGACTAGGCTGAAATAAAGTATTTGGGTATTATTAATACAAAGACAATAGCCAGCAGATGTCTAGTCGAGTCTGGGTTCGAGTGGCTAGAGAGAGTTGGGAGTCGAACGTGGAGACGTATGGGACCTGCTCCGCGATGGAGCGGACCCTGGCCAAGTTGGCCCATGGACATTTGTATGAAACTCTTTGATATGGATGGGCAGGTGTTTAGTTTTTGTCTGCCTTACACAGGTGCTTATGTTTGGTACCACGGCATGCTGCTGTGTGTTGATTAGGAACTATCTTTAGTAATGGATATTAACGCGAAGTACTAACTATGGAAAACCACTATACGATGAAATAAACGTTTCGGTCAACCCAAGTAACCACCGTGTTTAGTCATTGTATTACACATGGAATATCATTATACAACGTCTTATGGAAACCCTTAACAGCACGTTTATCTACATTATCAACAGTTGTGGCCGGCAACATCCTCATCTATCGAAGAGCTGATTGTTTTAACCTGAAACGCCATCAAGCTGTAATGTGTATTTAAAAGACCTTTAATGAATACATTTGTTATTAGTACGACATTGAACACAGGGACAAGGAAACCATATCTTGTGAACAAAGATGATAAGCAATGTTTCAGGCAGAAGAAGATGTACAGCAGTACGGACGGTATGACAGACATAATTGTCCGAGTGGGATAAAAATTGAGTAAATTTAACGAATCTCTGTAATATGAATGATTTCAAAAAAGATACCGGATCAAATATACTTTGAACAAAGTGAACATTTCAGTGAAAGAATTTGTTGAATCCATCTACATTTCCAACAAAAGTAACATAATATGTCAGATGTACTTGTCAGAGTGAACGGGAGACAATAATACTTTTAGAACATAATGTTGTGCATATGACAGGATCGTACAATTTGTACGGTTCGTTAAAATGTTTGACTAGTATTTCGAATTGAAAATCAGACGAAAATCTCGTGAAAATGTGACTTAATATAGCGAACATAGACATAATAGATATCAATCAGTGATTTCAACATCTTCGAGATAAAAATTGGAACCTGTGTTAATTAGACTTTGTGTAGTTTAACACCTCGGAGAGTGGCGAGTATTTGACTCCATCAACAACAACTAATATACCAGTTATGACGTGACAAGTCCGTATTGGTCGCCAGTGAAACAATGTTTATGAATAAAAGAAAAATGAGAGTAATGAATATGAAATTTTCTATCTGACGTATGGGATTTTAAATAATTAATTTTCGAGACAAAACGAGACGTTCATGTAGTGCTAACATAGATAATGTTTATATGATATGCATGAGAGTATACTAAGTCTGGTCACGTGTAAACAAACTAATCTTAAATACGAGTGTATATAACTGGTATGTACGTGATAGATCTACATGTGCCTAACCTATAGATATATGGCTTAGGAAATATATATAGTTGTACTCTTATATACCACGAAAATAGATAAACCCTACACAACATGTGTTCACATGTCATTTCTTAATCTATTTTAATAAGATATATGATATGTCGCCACACCGTGCGGACAAACATGTACTCTATGTTATAACAAATTTCGTCCAATTATTCCATTGTGCACTCATTGTGAAAGTATCGTCATTACAAGTGTATGATTGAAATATAAGTCCTGACAACAACTGAACTGGAATATAATGAAAAGAGCACTTACACCTGTTTTTTTTCCCATTCACATAATGACTGACGTATGATTTTAGAATATACATCTGTCCTATCACTTTTCTTACTTATCATTCTTAATAGACATTTTTATCAAGTACTTTTTACTTTGTTAAGGTAAATAGCGGCACATCATTATTATTATCTTTGTTTTGTTTTTTGTTTCTTTTTTTTCAATTAATCTTTTTATATTCCTTACGAAATAAGCTTAGATCACCTATATATATGTGTCCTTATTAACATATTCGATTGTCACAGAGCGGACGTGAAAATTGTATATGATGACCTGCTCGTCCACGTGGGTCTTCCGCAGGTACTCCGGTTTCCACCAACAATAGGACAATCTGCGCGCTTCAAACCATCCAATTGCTTTGTAGACAGATTATATATTTTTATCAAAATAAGCTAATGGCTTTAATATGTCAAATGAACCAAATTAATATTCATCATTTCTGGCGAATATGCTTAGATATTAATCATTGATATGTTTAAAAGCAAACGCCCGGGACGTTGCTAACAGTACGTGACCATTGCAATGGTACCCTATACAGGACGCTGATATCTTCGTCTGTTACATGTTTACATGCGTTTTAGCATAAACTGTTTTAACTCATTTAACTCCATCAAGGCTACATTTATGATTAAGAGTACTTCACTATGAACGTTTTCAAGCTTTTGGTGCCATATTTTATTGCAATCATTTGTGCATTAAACCATGGCGCATACTCAATGAAACACTTAGGCGAGAGGCAGAATTTTGTTCGGGACCTCAGCCATGGAAAGAATAAAATGTTTGATGAAAGACTTTCGACACATGCTGACGCCATCGAAAACATCAGAAGAAAACGTTCTGTAGACCAGACGGAGCCACTGCCAGCACAGGAATGTCCAAAAGGTAATATTATCAAAGGTTAAGCGATGGTATCCTAAAGAAAGGTGAACAATTATCTCATGGCTATTTAAGTATATACGGCATCAATTTATAAGTGAAACTAGTATTACAAAGAACCAGGTAATTGTATGAGCTATATATGGCTTTAGAACTGCTGGTTCAGCCAATCAGTTCACTTATCACACAGACTAATGTAAAGTGACATTTCTATATGTTGGTATTATAAAAGTATTATTTCTAAAGTGCACTTATACAGTTGTGGTATCACACAACGTAACAAGATGTGCGATTTGCGCACGATGCAGAAAAACTGGACCAGCTTTAGTGTAAGGACACTCATTATATATACATGCTATATGTAAACATTAAATGGACATCTCCTTTTGTCTCGGCAATGAATCTCTTACCGCTACAAAGGTCATTTTATTTTCATTACTTCTATATTATTGTAAACAAAATAATATACTAAATACTAGGTAAATCTTATGTGTTGTGTTTATAACCAATTAGTTGTAATATTCGTGTGATTATTTTGTTATAACTACACATGTCTTCCGTTAAATGTTTATTCCGTTATACTAGTCAACTATATTTACTAAACTGCACAAAATGTGCAATTTTATCTAGCAGTCGTGCTCACGATACTTTAACACATATATACTCGTGCATTACATTCTAGAATCATATTGAACAGTATTGTAGTATATGCATTTTTATGTCGTTAATTTGATACCTGCTTTAAATGTATGAAAAATAATATGTTTTTCTATTCGTTATTTTGCTGGATTGTTTAGTGTTGAACAATGGATACAGATGTTGATGAGATCAGCGGAAAAGAAGAAACACAATATATATTTTGTACGGTTTAATTAGCCAACACGAGAAAGGATTAAATTCTATTGTATCATAAATTTCAAATTACATCAAAGTTAGGGCCAGGATAGATGAAAATATTCTCATGCTCACGCGTGAAATCTAGATTCAACTACACTTTCTTTCAATTGCTATAAATACCACTTTAAGGAGAAAAGAATAAATTTGAAATATTAAATAACGCAATATCTTACTGAAATTTCTTCAAATCCTTCAAGAATACGGTCCCTGGGGGTTGAAACTTCTAAGTAAATTTTCGCATTTTGTTCTTGGTAGCATTTTGAAAAAAAAAAGTTTTAAAATGTAACTTTAAAATTGAGGAGAACTATTCCACTTTTTCATTTATTTAAGCTTTGATTGTTTTTAGATACAGGTGTCCGAATATGTTCAAAAGAAAACATACTTTAACGAATAATGCTTCTGCATAAAATCACATTTACGTAATTGCCGTGCCTATAATTTTTACAACAAATCCTTTTTTAAATAAAATTATGTTGGAATAACAGAGAATTGCCCAGATTTTCACTTTGATATTAGGATCTCAAAACCGCATAGTCACCAAAAAGGTTGTTTTCAAAAGGTGAGAAAGATGCTTCAGTATAAAACTAAACCATGACATGATTTCAACTGTCTCTGCTTGGCAACATATGATTCGATACTTGGAATGATAAAAAAAAGAGAGCCGCCTGACTTTTTATAATTTGTGTTTTTCATAATAAATTATACTCGTGACAAGAACATAAGGAACAGAAAAAATGTTGACTTTATTCATGGATTGATGACGTCAACTGTATTGTCAAAATTGACATATTAAACACACTCCATATACACAGGAAAGTGTCATAATGAATATTGTTGAGCGTTGACATTTTTATTAACTTATCGTCTTTTTTGTTCTAACAGAATGTTATCGGGTGAATATAGCTAATACCCTGATTTTGTCACCGGGCTGTTGATTATGCAATGTCATGCGAATTCTTGTTTTAATTATCTTTGTATTTCTGTTCGAAACGGTCCCTCACACGTGTTTAGTCAATCAAATCGCTCCCTTCAACCATTGATGACGTAGAGGCTCCGCCTACTTTCCATTCTAGTGTTTAATAGATGCGGGTCAGGATGTAGGCTACACTGCATGGATAATCTGTCTAAATATTAGAGTATATTGATTATTCGTGCAATACCTGAAATTCTTAACGTCTTTCTCTGAATGGTAAAGGTAGTTGTTTACAAAAGTAGATCGATAAAACGACGGACATCGTGGAGAGGCATTGGCATGTGACAATAGCTTCCACAGAAGTTGTCAATACGAATCTTTCAAGTGGAGATAGGTATTTATGTATCTTTGATATGTTCATACATTTGAAGACTTCACCAAGCTGTATGCTTAATGATTTGAATTTCACTATTGTGAACTTTCTATTTCTGGATAGCACTGTACCTGCATCCCCAACCCATGGTATTTACATGTCACAGTTAATTCAATATTCAAAGGCATGATCCAATTATCACGTTTTTGCTTTTTGCTTTGATCAAGACGTCTTCAACGGACGGACAATCTCGTAACACAGGGTTTTTAAAAGATGCAGATTGATGAAAACTACGGAGAAGGTTTATGATCCACATTGTGACCCAATCGAAAAAACTACGATCTCTTTTGTTGTTGTGGAGCTTTTAATTTTTCCTGTTGGTTCCGTGGTTGTATAAATCGCTATCATTTGAGAATGTGACATTACTTACTTGGATTGACATAGGTTTACATGACGGAAGACGTCGATTAAGCAGAAGACATTTACTCTTCCGTAACACTTGGTCTTAATCTCCTTTCACTTTTTCATAAGTCTCTTTGTAATTTGTTCACATTCTATGTTAGTTACCTGAAATTTTAAAACATTCACAGAAATGGGGGAACTGAAAATAGCTTTCCTTTTCTTATAATAATAATACGGTAAATATTATATATGACCATTGGTGTTGACTTTTTGCAGTAGAAAACTCTTTATCTGCACGTTCCGCATTTACGGCACATCTGCTAAGTCAAATACACCAACCGATCAATACACTCTGAACTGTTGACAACATTTACTATAAACTATTCTGTGCATTATTGTTTGCTGGGATAAGATGATTAAAAAAAATTCTTTCGTTAACATGGTCTGTGTAAACCGCTATTTTACACCTGTAGTTTTATCCTTAAGCTTTTTAATATTTTTATTTACAAATATCAAAAAATCAATCTTAATGATTTAGTAATGAATGAAAAATCTATTGAATATTTGAAGAAATTTGAATAGAACAAGATTTTTTTTTCAGATCCATGACTTTATGTACTAGCATTATAGTGGCCGAATATCGACAGGAGAGCACCAGTAAGGTAGCAAGTCAATCAGCCTCGTTATCGTCCACTCAAAATGCATATTAAGAAGAATCAGTTATTGGTTGGCGTATCTCGTTGGTCAGTCACGTAGGTGTAGTGAGGGGTGGAGTCTCGTGATTTACAACTATCATTACGTCATATTAGTTGGGAAATCATGTTCTTTGTCCTTTAATTGTGTTTATATAAGAGCAATAAGTGACTTCACTCTAAAAAAATTGTACGCTTTCATATATATATTTTTTTTTCAATTAGTATCACGAATGTTTGTAAAGATGAAAATAAAAAAGTATATCAAAAAGAAAAAGAAACTCGTTTTCTCCTTTTAAAACAAGAACATTACAAAACGACATTGTTATTATTGAATATGAAGAAAAACATTAGCAATATTTACTTCCTAATAATTCGATATGGAATAAAACGCTTGATTGATCAATTGAATGCGATAGTAAAACTATATCACTCCGTCCACAAAATGATCGTGCTTATACGTTGCCAACATTTTAGATTATGTCAAAACCTCAAGTAGACACGTCCTAAAATTTACTTCGAGTAGAGGAAGATGAATCACGATATTTATTCGGCGTTTCAATGCTACTCGCACCAAAAATCCTGAGCGTGGGAATATATCTCAGAAGTTATAAACAAACATGTCTCTATATAAACGTACTATTTGTGAAAGGCATCGATCATCGCAGATTTTTGATCGATTATCGATTCTTATTAGATTGATGATTCTTCGTTTTAATTCTTTCATTCGACATTAATTTACGTGAAATCAGAGTTTTATTCCTGTTAAATCATCGAGTACAATAACTTCATTTCACATCTTTACATTAGGAAGAGAAGGACATAGCTTTACTGAGAAGGTCAAGTGTCATTATACGTTCTGTCAGCACGTCAGCTACAAATGTGACATTCGATGCCAGAAACAGGAAACAGAAAACAGCAACTGTGGTAGGTGTGAGAGATGATTATTTCACTGTGAAAACATAAATCATACTCTAAAATATTTCGATTTCTTTCAATTTCATTAACATGAAAATAATCAGACGTCTAAAAATAGACAAACATGACGTCATGTGTACATTATCAGTTGCCTTCTCACTAAATACAGTAATTGACGCATACTATTGCTAATGAAGACGTACTGCTTACTAGGTTGAATATCAAACTTTCTTGATATTAAGTATATGTCTGTAGTGTAAAGGGTTTATACTTTGTTGTATATTTCCAACAGATCATCGGTATCGTCGTCGATTATTGATTTTGTATGCAAGTACATTAAATCGTCCTTGTTTCAGGACTATTCAATTGTGCAGGAATACATCACTGCCCTAACGGACACACCATTCCTCTACAACAAGTATGTGACAATAAAATCCAATGTCCAGATTCCGATGACGAGTCTGCATGTGTCCATCCGTGCCAACCAATTTGTATGTGTATTGGTCTCACAGTCAACTTAAGCGACCCTTTCTTGGCGACTATACACTTCCCTTCCAATACCATGTGGAATCATTTACTATCTCTGGGATTACAACAACTATCGAAGATCAGTTATTTAGTCATTAAAGATAAATACAATGTGTACAAAACATTCAGCAAAGGTTTACAGAACCTCAGGTCATTAGATCTATCTAATAACGGCATTATGTTACTTCCTGAAGGCATGTTCAGCGACATGTCAGGTATTGAACATCTAGAGTTATGTAATAATAAGATAAATCAGTTATCGATAAATACATTTTACGGTCTTCCTTTTCTTAGGTATTTGGACTTATCTAACAATCAAATATCAGTTCTACCAGACGCTGTGTTTAGCGGTCTCACTTATCTTGCGTATTTGAACTTATCTAGAAATCAGATATCAGTTCTACCAGACTCTGTGTTTAGCAGTCTCACTGTTCTTAGTTATTTGGACTTATCTAGCAATCAGATAACAGTTCTACCTGATAACATGTTTAATGAGCTTCATCACCTTATATACCTGTCCCTAGCAAACAATCAAATACTGTCCCTTTCTCACTATTCATTAAGTGGTGTTTTTAATTTAATAGATATCTTTCTTAACGAAAATGACTTATCTGTTCTACCTATCCTACCTGCTTCTATTGAATTGCTCGATATATCATACAATAATTTTGCAACTTTGCCTGCGGGTACATTCACTAATTCTAGTTATTTGTCTACTTTGAATATCATTGGTAACAAACTGGAAGTTAAGCAACACATGTTTGAAGGTTTAGACAATCTGACTGTTTTGCTGACAGACACTCCTTTTATGTGTTGTGTTAAACCTAAGTCGGTTCCTGACGATAAGTGTCTAAAGGATCCATCTAAATTAATGCATTGCTGGTTTGAAGAAGCAGCCTGCAAATCAGAAGGAGATGTGATATCCTCGTGTAAAAATTTGATAGGTTCAGATTTACTTAGAGTTTTTCTCTGGATTATTGGCTTTTGCTCTTTAATTGGGAATTTTACTGTCATGTTTTACCGACTTCTTATCGATAGAGATAATATTACAACAAGTTATTCGATTTTTGTATTGAATTTAAGTATGTCTGATTTTCTCATGAGTATCTATCTCATGATTATAGGATCATTTGATATACATTATCGAGATGTATATGCGTGGAATGATCAGGATTGGAGAAACAATATTGTATGTACCATAGCTGGAATCCTGTCGAATATATCTAGTGAAATGTCGACGTTTCTGATTCTTATGGTGACAATAGACAGAGTAATTGTCATAGTATTTCCCATGTCTCGTCTTTCTCGGCGAAATATATCCGGGAAGCAAGCATGCATCATCTCATTTTTCCTGTGGTTGGTTGCTATCACAATCGCTGTCATCCCTGTTGTTTCTATGCAATTCTACTTCAAGGGAGAATATTATTCTCAGTCAGGAGTGTGTCTTGCCTTACCACTGACACGTGACGAACAACCTGGTTCGGGTTATTCTTTTGCAGTGTTTGTTTGCCTGAACAGTTTCATTTTCGTTATCATCGCCATAGGCCAACTCTGCATGTTTAAAAGCCTTGTAACAAGTGGTGGGGGTCGGGTAGCTTCATCACAGACTCGACAACGAGACCTGACGGTAGCTAAAACCCTCTTCTTGGTGGTGGCGACAGACTTTTGCTGCTGGTTTCCTATTGGAGTCATGGGTAAATAACTTATCTTATCGCATTACGAAATGTAGAACAAAGCTTTGAATTATAACGTTCTCAATTGAGTTTCTTTCCAGCAATAAACCAAACGTCATTGACGACGACCATCAGGTCACTTTTAAAAGAATTTAGATATATTGTTATATACACACATTCCGACAAAAGTGCATCTGTATAAAGTAACCAGAAATAACACACGTAAACAAATGGTCATATAAGTGTTTGAGTGACTCGCGGAAGTCGTGGAAGACGATGGTTCCGCAAGTACGAAAACAAAGTATCTCATGCTTAGATAAGGAATTACCACCTATAATTAATATCATTAATTGATAATAAAACTTCTATTCCATGTATACCATCAGTTGTCCTAATGTAGGATGAATACTCAAGATAAGTGTCAAACAATCCTTTTTTTCAGGTGTGATGTCAAAAAGTGGATACGAGATTCCGAATGATGCCTATGCCTGGGTAATGGTATTTGTGCTGCCAGTCAATGCCGCCATCAACCCTTTCTTATACACGGCATCAGCAATTTGGAGGAAGCGTCATAGAGTACGTTGATTACCACGTGTGCATGTGTGATAGCCGTGAAGACTTTTGTCCGTACAAAAGATTATTGATAATAAGATAGGTCTTGACAACTGATAAACGAACTATGTTAATTAAAAAGAATATTTGATGATTTCATAATGTTAGATATTATCAGTATCATCAATTTTCGTCATCGTTTATTCCAAATTTGTTAATTATTGGGTATCTCGCCTGAGCTGTCAGTTTTCAAATTGATATAACGGGATCAAAAGGATATTTGTGTTTGCCAAACAAGATTTTTACACTTGCTTTTATCTGTTTCAACCAGATAATGATTCGCTTTCCTAGACAAGAATTTTATACCATTAAAACCTATCTAAAGGACCAAATTGTTGTCATGTTTTTCTTAAAATATTTGGAAAAAAAATGTTTTCATCACTTTTGGGAGTAGTTCCAGAAGCTAAACATTAATGCACACGTTTTTATGACGTCAAGATTGTCTATCGTTTAGACGTAAATGCAAAACAAGTCAAACCTTCATCCAAAAATGTTGTACTGATTCTTACAAAAATACAACGTAACACGCTGTTTAAAATCCTTCCTGTGTTGTTGTGTAATAATATATTCGACAACACACAGATGTTATTTCAATTCATAAGATGAATTTCTTCCTTATGTCGATTCCACTAGTTTCAATGATCAACAGTCTAAACACAAAACCGTGACACAAATCAACATTGAATTAGAGTGTCTTTGATCAACATGTCTGCAAGAATCATTCCCTCATTCTATGCTAAATACTTTCTACAAAACTTCCTTTTTTAACAATTGTCATCAGGGTAGTTATCAATGGCATTATCATTCCGAGTTAAGCTGTAATAAGTATTTATAAATAACAGTATATTAGGGCACGGTGACGCACGATACAATAATTGGGGGTATTAATTAGAACATCAAATGAATGAATGATGTATTCAAGTATTCAACAGTTTCCTATAAAAGTAAGAAAGCGGATTAAAAAACAAAACAGAGAATAAACACTTGATGTATTCTAAATAAAAAGAAAATGCCAACATGCCATCATCATAATTCAAAGTCAACTAGAAATGATGAGCCAACAATTTGACGCAGTTTTCACCTATATTCGACCTCTTACCCTAAGTTGAATTATTTCCACAAACGTGATGACCAACCACTCAAGTGATTTATATAACACCCAGACTCTAGACTGTGCAATTTCAGATGATGGATTTGCGCTAAACGATTCTTAATGTGACCCTTTCTGAAAACCAGAAGTTGACCTTTGACATTTTATTTGTTCACAACCATCATTATTATTTGATTGCAATATACAACTGACCAAATACCATCATCTTGTACCTTTTGGTTATTGAAAATAAACCATTGAGATTTTACAAACTTGATCCATGTGACCTTGAAATTAAAGTCATTCATATTAGTCAACCTGATATCTAATGACCTGGACATCTAACATGTGAAATATCAACATTTTAGACAATGAGTATCTTGAGAAGTTCTTCAAGATTTGATAACATAAAAAACTCTTTTGAATATTGACCTAAATAGAAGAATTGAAGTTGACCAAGCACAATGTTTTTCGTACTATTGTTGATAGCAATTGGTCGCAGTATGCAACTGAACAAATAACGCCACATTGTTTCTCTTTGTTATTGATAAGAATCCATTTCATGATTTGTGACTTGGCAGGGGGGAGGAAAATTATTCATGTTATCAAGTTTCATACACAAATACATGGACGTTTTACTTATCAAATACCATATCCTGTAGTTCGTGAGAAGTTTTTGTTATTCAAAATTGCATTTCTGAATGTTAACCAAAGTTGATATTGTACTATTCGTTTCCTTATTACTATCGATGACCATTGGTCTCAATATGCATCTGACCAAATATCACATTTATTTTGATAAACTTGATAGCCTATAACTGATCTTCTTATATATCAAATATGAAGACTCTAGACTCTGTAGATTATTATCCAATCTAGCATTTTCAACAATGGCTATGCCATGTATCGGAAGTTCTAGTTGAATAATAAATATGTTTTTCTGTTCTTTATTATTTTACAAAACATTTTTACAGCTGAATTCAACATGACGTGTCGTTATGAAGTTTATAGCAATTTAGATAAAAACGGATATGACTTCATGGTGGCCATTTTGTTTGTTTTTTTTTTAATTAAAATGTACTTAGAAATGAATATACATATAGTATCAAAACTTCCTACGCACATAGTCCGGAGATCATGCGCGCACACGCACACAATACAATCAATCAGGTTTTTTAATTCGACATTTTTTTTAAATAACGCTTGACCTGCATTTATTAGTCTGATCGTATATAGTTTCACACCTCAGACTGTGGTGAGTAGTGTTGCCTCGGGTAGCAAACGTTTACCTGTATACGGGTACATACGTGAAAGGTCTGGATCTTTACAAACTGGGTCGCCTGGCTTACAGACAAAACACTTAACATTTCCTTGAGCAGATATTTTTTGTTTACAATATGATTGAATAATGAGAGTTATATAGAAGAAATGAAAATAAAGTTTCCTTGCTGACGGTAAAAGATTTCAGATGATTTATTACTGTGACATAAAGAGACGTCCATGTAATGTTTACATGCATAATGTAATATAATGTTTGTCAGTAAACGAACCACATTTGTGCAATAGATGTGAGATGGCTTATTTCGTCCAGTTTTCCTATCGCAGATCTTAGCAGACATCTTGCAAACATCGCACATCATGCAGACATCGTGCAAACATAAAACAATTATAATTTAAATTCATTTTTATGTTCACATTAAAAATGTTACTTATTCATTTTTTATTTTTTCAAAATATCTCCGACGTTGATTGCTACTGTTGTTGATTAATGATAAGTTGGGTTAGATGAAGTATCTACATGATTTAAGCTACACGAATATGAAAAATAGCTTTTGTTCTCCGTACACGTGTAATATACACAGTATATGATTTATTACCTTCGTTA